TGTCGAGGTGTGAGATGGTCGGAGTCTCCGACCTGAGCTTTGACCTTGACAACAGACTCCCACTGGGCGGCGAGGAAGGTGAACACCATGCCTGAGCACGGGCGCCTGTAAGAGAGCTTCCACTCCATGGGTTCCCCAAGCGTTCGGACAACATCGAGGCAGTCCGGGTGCCCTCTCGAGGGGCCCGCGATAAACTGGGAGGCCGCTTCCAAGGCCCCAAACTCTCCCGACTGGCTGATTTGGAGAAGGGGGTTTCCCCACAGACCGAAATTACGAGGGCGCCAGACTCTGACAGGGAGACCCCCAGCTCGCTCGGGACAGCTCCTTGATTGCGTGCTCCTGACAATTGTGATTTGTGAAAATATCGCCTGAGACTTCGGCGCCTACTCTAGCGGGGTCACCTCCCCAGGAGACAACAGCGCCACCAGCGGCTCGGTGTCGGGACCGCTGGTCGCCAGGGCCCGGGAAGATGCCCCTGGTGAAAGGAGCAGGGCTGTCGGCGCTCGAGGGGTCGAGGGGGCGGGCTGCCTCCTGGGTGTCTGTTTTGACCGGCTCGTCTCCCGGCTCTTGGGCGCTGGGGCAGAAGCAAATCCGATGCGCGGCGGGGTCGGGGGCGGCTCTGCGCAGAGGGCGCAAGTCAGAGCTCAACCAGCAACCGCGCGAGATGGCCCGATCACACGACCAGGTGGCCCCGCGGCGCACGCCAAGGACGCAGCCCTTCTCGAGGGCCGTGAATATCGCCAAGCGGAGAGCGGCCTCAACCGCGCTGTAGCAAACTCTAGACTGCATCCCCAACGAGTGCCCAGATACTCGCTGCCGCTGCCGCAGCACTCCGCCCCGAAGAGCCTGCTCGACGAGGGCAGGGGGGGGGCAGGGCCCCGCCGAAATCGTCGACTAACTCGGCGAAAGAACGCATGGGCCACAATGCGCCCCCAAGACAGCTTAATGGCCCCGATGGGGTCTCGAACAGCGCCCCTCGCAAGTGTAGAGCCCTTCGAACTTGGCCCGGGCCCGCCGGCTGAAAAAAAATAGCTCCCCGAGAAGACCGGGGGGCATAACAAAAGCTTGATGTTTGAGCATTCGAACTTGATTTGCCCACGCCTCCGTAGAATACTGGACAGCTGGGTGAACGGCGGCATGCCAGCTAGGGCCCCCCCCTCAGGATGAGGATGAAGGTGGCCCCCCCCTTGCCCGCGGATGGTTTCAAGACTCGCCTGGGGCCTCGCAACGAAGCCCGGTGGTTTCGCAGTCCGAAACCCCGTGGGCCTCGGAAGCGCACGTGGCCCCTGCGCGCAAGACGCCCAGCTGAGGGGGCCCTCTTGGGGCGCCGCTGGTCCAAGACGGCGCGAGCGCGCTTCAGCTTGGAGACGCGAATCTTGAAAGACTTGAGGCGCTGCTTGGCCTTGTTGACACCGCGGTCCGCATGGCGCCCAGGCCGTCCTGCCGCGCCATCCACGCCGAGGCCCACTGCCGCGCTCGCCCCCGGGGTAGAGACTCCCAAAACTCCAAGAAGTTCCCGAACTTTGGCCCCCAATGAACACATTCCGGGGGCTCCGTCGACGGACGCGACGCATGTCAGATCGCCTGTGAGCACGGCGCGAAGCCGCGTGGCGCCAGTGAGAACATGCGCAACTACCGCGCGCTCGCTGCCCGCGGCCTGCAAGCCATGAGCGTCGATATAGATGTCGGGGGCGCCTTTGGTTTCGGGGGGCGAGGAGGTCGATGCCGGGCAAAGCGTGCGCCCGAACGAACGAAGTCGCGAATGGGCCCCCAGCAACCGCTCCGTGCTTCGCGAAGAACGGCCCCTCAGCCATACCCCCGGCGCTTACCCATCGTGGGCGCCGATGCATAGTGATGGCGAGCCTCGAGATCTGACCTGGGAGCGCGAGGAGGCCGCAGCGACTTTGCATTTGGTGAAGCTAGCAGCCCATCGATTTTATACAGGTCCCAGGGCGCCGAGGACGCAATGCCTGGCCCTCGCGAGCCCGCGGCGAACTCCGACTTGACCGACTGGGGCCAGACCGCGTCTGCAGCGCCAGTGAAAGCGCCTGCCGCGAGATACGGCCGAGCCAATTCATTCTCCCAAGTGACAACGCAGGGGCGACGGAGTCGACCATGGAGACGACGCGCAGACGAGGGTAAACCCATAGGCTTCCATCTTCCCACCTGCTTGGGGAAAAGGGAGATCACGAGAGGGCGAACGTGGCGAGGAACGACCGAAGTAGCCCCCATGATGCTATGCATGGACAAAGGACAACGAGGGCTCCATTCGACATCGCGGCGTAGTGGCGCACGTGGAATCCATCCATGCTGATGGGCGCCCCCGCGGGGGATGACCTGGGGGCCCTGCGAAGGACGTCTGGCGACTCAAATGGGAGCGGATCCAGATAGTCCGATCCCAGACCCCCAGGAGAGATTGATCTGGACCGAGGAAGTTCCGACCCCGCGTCTGGCGCAGGTGGGGCGAGGGATAACAGCGAAGCGGGGGCTCGCGCCCAGCTTGCCGGAGGCGGCTGAAACGATGCGCCTCCGTCTGAAGGAGCGATTGAGGATCGGGCAGCACCGCGCCATTGGCCGAGGGGGTGGCGGTGGTCTTCCAGGACCCCACATCGCGGCGCCGGTCCACCAGTGACTCCCGCGGCTTCCCGAATCGATCCCCTCGAGAAGCCGGCCCCTCCAACTCTCATCCGCAGCCGTCTTATCCTCGCCAGAAAAGTCCCCGGCAAAGCGGAAAACTGCTCCAACAGGTAGGCGCCCTGGGACAGCAGCGGACTGTGGAGAGGGCCCTGGGCGCAAGATGGGAGGCTTGAACCGGTGAAACTGTGGGCGAAGGCTTGCACCTACGAGCGCAAGTCCAAACGCTCGCCGAGGTTGTCGGCGATGACGGGCGGGGGATCCAGCGAGAAACCAGCCGAGTGCAGTGCTGAACCTCGCTGCTCGCCACGCTGAAAGGCTTCGGCGAGAACGATGCGGTAGGTGCTCCCCAAACACCTGACAGCTTAGAGGCCTGGCTGCCTTGCCACCCTCTTGTCTTTGCCGGGAATCGCTGCCCCTTGGACATCGATTCTCGGCAAGCAAGTTCGGTCGAAGCAAGTTGTCCATTGTCCATTGGACGTCCGTTCCATTACCCCCAAACTTACTTGAAGCAAGTTTTGGGGGGCGGCCCCTGGCCCCCCAAACAGGCAGAGCACGCCGACGGTCCGCGACGACGTCCAACTCCTCTTTGTCTGCCCAGAGCCGACGCAGGCGGCCGAGGTGCTTTTGAGCGGTGCCCCGAGAGGCCCCACTCCTGACAAGAACCAAGCCATAATGTGCGCAGTCGAGTTCCACGCCCCAGCTCGGCGGCCCGGGCGCGGGACCGACGGCGCCATCAATAGGGGCGGGGGGGGGGGGGGGGGGCGGTTTTGCAAACCTCAGGGCCTGCAGCTGCGCAACCTGACGAAAAATAGGAGGCGGACTGGCTTGCGCAGCTTAGTCGACGTCTCCAGGCAGACAGAGGTCTTCCACATGGCCTTGGACAGGTCGATCGAAACCTGGAAGTTGTCCAGCTTGCGAACTGCTTGCAGCCAGGATACTCACCAACCCCGACGATCCCAGCTCTTCGGGCTACGCCCGGGAATCAGCGGCGCCGAGAACGCGCGAACCTTGGTGAGGCGAAAGTAGAGTGCCCATGGAGGACAGAATGTCTAAGTTGTGCGCCGAAAGGCCCCCCCGAGTCCTCGAGGTGCCCGCTGACGGCCAACAGTTCCAAGCCCCCTGGAAGCTGAGCGACAGCAGCAGCAGCTCTGTGCGGGGCCACGCACGGGCCGTCAGTGATATCGCGTAAGCAGAGGAGATTATTTGCCATGGTAGTCACACCACCAGAAGAGCCTTGACCCCACCCCCTGGAGGCTGCCAGAAATCGCGATATCCACCCCGATATTGACGCCCACTGCGAGGCCTCGCTCACCTGAGCATCGCTGACCATGTGAGTCTCCTGGACAAGAACAACGCGGGCAGAAGTCCTGGATAACCAGGTCTTCGCACTACCCCAACTCGTGCAATGTGTGGCCTCTAAGCAGAGTTCGTAACTGCCCGAGCAAGCTGGGGCCCTGAGACCAGTGCAACACATCAAAAATGGCTCTTTGGAGGCGGGTAGGCAAAATCCTTGATGTAGCAGGTGAGAGCTCCCCACTCAAAAAGTTATGAGGCGTCGCTCAAGGATGCGGACCTGTTGCAGCGCATCATTAGCCTGACGCTCAAGGAGCTTCTTTGGGGAGCCCCTGTCCGCGTCAACCTTCTGCTTCGTCCAGCACTGGCCTTGTGACTTAGCGCTCTCATCACCGAATTTAGTGGCCATGGCAAACAACGGGTCGAGCTCCTCGATCGTAATGTCTGGCGGCATGGAACTGGCGCCGCCCAAGAGAGCGAAGGCCTTGCCTCCTCCGCGTTGCCAGTTCTTCTTGCTGTCGTCGCCCGCGGTGGCGTCGCCGCCCTGCTCGGCGACCTCAAAGCGTGGGCGGCGGCAGTGCTTGCACCAGGTAAACCAGCCGAGGGCGGCGCCCTGCCCAGCCGAGGTTCTCGGCGCAACTGCAGTCCGCGTGAGCGCACCTCCATCTGGGGCCAGCTCCGCCCGCAGCACCGTGCTGTCCCTCTTGTTTCTTCCAAGACCACGAGTTTCCACCTGCCTTGCTTCGTTGTGCTCAGAGTGTTGAGACCGAAGGGGCAAACGAGCCAATCTTGCTCGCGTCCACCCAGCTGTTCTGAAGAGTTGGTGGACGCAAGCAGAAAAGGATTGTGCCAGAACGGCCAGGAAGAGGAGTGTGAGGAGCAGGAGGGGGAGGAGGAGGAGGAGGAGGAGGAGGAGGAGGAGGAGGAGGAGGAGGAGGAGGAGGAGAGAAGAGAAGAGGAGGAGGCGGGAGGATGAGGGAGGACGGAGGGAGGATGAGTGAGGAGTGGGGACGGAGGGAGGATGAGTGAGGAGGAGTGGGGGGGGAGGAGGGAGAAGGGCGGCCCGGAAGGACGCCAAGAAGGAGGCGGAAGTGCCCGAGCCGACCGAGGAGATCTTGACCAACCCGTGCCGTGTGCTAAAGGCCCGCGCGGGCGCCCCAGCCTCGGGCGCACGCACGTCGTCATCTCCGTGGGGAGTGGGAATGGGCGAGGCCGGGGCCCGCGAGAGGAGGAGGAGGAGGAGGAGGAGGAGGAGGAGGAGGAGGAGGAGGAGGAGGAGGACAACCCCTTCCCCCTCCTACTTATATTGGTGACGGTGGAAGACAAGCCCACCAACGGGGACCATTGCAAACGGGGACCAGTCAGAGCGCCAGATCCTTCAGGATTCTGCAGAGCCACTGGTGCACTGACCCGGGTTTTTGGGTCCCCTTGGGTGCATGCAGGATCCTGCTGGATCCCGCAGGATCTTGAAAAAGCCTGACCCGGGTTTGCGTTGACCCGGGTCAGTGCGTTCCCGATGAGTACAGGAAGGGGGGTGGGAATGGTCATGGCTCGGGCCGTGTTATTTTGGAATTGGTCGTTTTTCTGTTCGTCGCGCCCGTTGCCCTCACCCCTTTCGCCCGCGCACGCGCCCCTTGAGCCTCGATGCGACGATGCGCACCCCCCCTTCCAGGTGGCTGGCGCCGTCGTCGCTCTCGTTGATGTCGTCGTGGGTCGTCGTCCTCGTGGGCGTTGTCGTCGTGGAGCGTGGACGTCGGAGTAGAGACCCCAACACCCCAGCGCATGCCCCGCAAGGCGCAGATGCAGCACATCTCCTTCCCGAGGCGCCGCCGGGTCGAAGCGGAGAAACCGCCCGCCCGACCCCCCAGGGGAAGGGCTGGCTGTGAATATGGGATAGGCTCAGGGTCAAACGCATCGACACACTACGCCCAGTCATAGGCGATACAGGCCTGGTAGCCCACCCCGCCCAGGGGCGTGCGAATTCGCCATCGGGAATATTTCGCCGATCCATCGGAGATGCATCGCCGATTCCAAGTCGATGTTTCCCCGTCTGAGCTGGTTCCCCCCTGAACGTTCCCCCGCATTCCCCCCACCCCGTCCTGTTTACAAACCCGGCTTTAGAGGGGGGGATGGGAGAGGACGGAGGAGGCTGGGTTCGAGGGCCTGGGCTGGTGTTGTGGATTGGGGCTGGGGACGGAATGCAGCGGAGGAGGAGGATGAGGACGAGGACGAGGACGAGGACGAGGACGAGGACGAGGACGACGAGGAGGAGATGGAGGAGATGGAGGAGGAGGAAGGAGAGGAGGAGGAGGAGGAGGAGGAGGAGGAGGAGGAGGTCCGTAGCCATTTTGGCTCAAGTTAAAGCCGCTTGCCCTGGCGGCTTTAGCTTGGTTGCAGCTGAGGGGCTGGCCCGAGGTCCCGCAGGTTTTCATCCAACGACCCACACAGGAGCGTCAAGCGCTGTGTGCCGCATTTTGGCCACGTCCTTCAGTCATTTCTTCGGGTGCCGGTACCAGGTAGCGAGCGAGAGATGGGTGATCATGGGACCCAGCTGTCAAGTGCAAGTGCCCTTGCAGCTCAGATCGAGGCAGCGCCAACCTTCCCGTCGCAGGAAGTCCTCCCTCCTCGTGGCGTCCAACGCCAACGTGCGAAAGGTGTTGCAGCTGATGACGCTCGCCGCAGTCGCAGTCGCAATGATGAACACCGTGGAGGTATCCATGCTCCACCACATGAGGGAGACGACAACTTCGAGGACTGCATCGGCTCGCTCTCCCCCGACGGCATCCAGCTTAAAGCAGAACCCGTCGCTCGTCGCTTCCAGATCCGTGTCAAGTGCTCAGCCCAATATGCCGCTCGGAAGGTTGCCATGGTTCTCTCAGCTTTGCGAACTGGGCCGCGGCCGTGGGAACGGTTCCACACTAACGACATCGACGGAGTGCCAGTGGAGATCCATGTTTCGGCCAGGTCAAGAAGGAGTTGCTGCTCAAACAGACCCGCCGAGAGGTCGAGCATATCCGTGGCGAGCACAGGGTCTTCGCGAACAAGGGGAGAGGTGAGCTGTCCGCGCAGTGGAAGACGATCCTCCGAGTGGAGCCCGTCCAGAACGATCGGCCCAAGGTCGCGTGGGCGATGGATCACATCACGTCGCTCGGTATCGACCGCCAGAGGATCGAAGCCGCCATCGAGCCCTTCCTGCAGAGCCCAGTACCCGTCCTGTGGAGTGGGTAGTACTCTCGTGAGGCAATGGCAAGGACTTCTTCCTCATCCCCGCCCTCTCTCCTTTGCTTCATGGAATGCCAGATCCCTCTTCCATCACAACCTCTTCCTGCGCACCCGCAAGTTCTCCTACCTTAGCCAGCTGCTAGTTCCAGGTGCAGTAGTCAGCGTTCAGGAGGCAAGAGGGTCCCCGACAGAGCTCCAGGATTTCCTCTACCACTTACATCGGCCAGTTCAAGCGTTCCACTCCTTCCTCCCTGCCTTCCCTCACCCCGCGGGCGGCGTCATCACCTTCTTTCCCGACTTCTCCGGCAGCCATCCCCAGGACATCCCAGAGGTTACTCACGAGGTCCTGGTCATTGGCAGAGTTTTGAAAATCACGATCAAGTTTGCGAACAACGTTGAGTTACGGCACTACAACATGCAAAACTTCGGGTCGGAGGCCTCCGAGAGGGACTCCATCTTAGCCAAGATTAACAACGACCTCCAGTGGGCTCAGGAAGCACCTTGTCGAAGAGTTTTGGTTGTCCTGGGTGACTTCAATGTTTTCGCTGTTCCCCCTGTTCCTGCTGTTCGATTGGACTCTGGAGATCAGGGCCTTCCAGGACCCCCACGGGTTTCTCAGGCTCAGGAGTGGAGAGGAGCCCGCAACGCGTCTCGGGAAAGGTGCTCCCAATCGCTCGTGGAGTTTTCTGTGGTGGAACCCGCGCATTCTTGTGCGGTCACCGACGTGCTCGCGGCTCTGGACCGCATTTTTACGTCGCTGCCAGGTTGGGCGCTGGCACAGCACGCCGCCACAGCCCAGGTCAAGGGATTCCCAGATGTGCTCCACCGAACAGGTCTATCTGATCACGCCGCCATCACTGCCCAACTGGCTGCTCGTAGTGCTCTCCCCGAGGCCCAGAAAGGCATGCACCCCGAGGTCTACTTGAGCCCACGATACGCTGAATATTTAGACCGTGTAACGAAGGTGGCTGACACATCTGAGTTGACCCCCCGCTCTTGCTGGACTTCCACAAAAAGATGATGAAAGATGCCGCTCGAGCTGCTGGTGACCAGTTCGTGTTCGGAAAGCCGCACTCGCCACTGGCCCGTCTTATTGTTCTGCAATCGATTAGTCGAGCTGTTGTTCGCCGGGATTACGTTCTCGCTGATGAGCTTTTTCGTTCGCACCCGATCGTCGCCAAGTTTCTCGGGCTCCACCCGATTCACAAATCTGTCCAGCTAGTGCGGGCCAGCGAGTTTTTTTAGCTGACCAACGCCAACCAGCGCGCGCAAGGCGACGCTCGTGCCCAACTTCAGGTTGCTGCTTCAGGCCGAGAGCGAGCTAAACTTCGCAGGAAACTCCGAGGGTTTCGGGGACGGGGGCGAATTTGGGGCCAGTTTAGTCGGCGTCTGCGTTTTCGAGGACTTCAGTTGGCCGACCGCGTTGTTCAAGAACCCGCTCAGGTATGAGAAGGTTTAGCTGCTCACTGGGGCCTGGTCTTTGCCGCCAAGCCCGTTGACGAGATTGCCGCTGCCAGGTGCCTCCAGCGCTTTGGCCTCTCGCAGTCCTTGGCCGATCTTGAGCCACCGACGAGCGCGACGATCAAGAGGCTGCTGCAACAGCTCCTTGCTAGCGCTCCTGGCCCAGACGGGCTACCTTACCAGGCCTGGCGGAACCGCCCGAAAGGCGTCGAGATATTAGAGATAGCTCTCAGGTGGTGCCTGGAAGGGAAGGGGATGTTCCTAGACTTCAATGAGCTCAAGGGGGTCTTCATACCCAAGGATGTTGATGGGGGAGCTGATGGGGGCGATCTTGTTCCGGAACCAGCAGCGGTGAGGCCACTGCGATTGAAAAACGCTGATTGCAAAATCCGTACTAGCGCGTGTATTTCTCCATTGTCGAGGCGTGCCCCCGAGATAGTGGACCCTATCCAAGAGGGTTTTACTAGCGGGAGGAACCATGGGGAAAGCATTCTCGAGCTGGACGCGTGGTCGAGAGCTTCGGGCCTCTCTGAGACTTCGGAGATCGACCTGCCGATTCTCGTTTCATATGATTATGGTTAGGATTTTCCTTCAATTGCGCACTCGTGGATTTAGAGTCTCAGAGTCTCTGCGTCTCCCACCCCCCTCCTCGGCTTCCTTCGCCTCATCTACACTCACCTTGCCTGCTCTGGACAGATCGGCGGCGAATATTTGATGATGTTCTTTTTTCTTCGGGGGTAGCGCAAGGCTGTTCAGCCTCTGGTGCGCTGTGCGCAATAGCCACGAATCCCTTTTATGCTTCAGTTTAACGTTCAGATCTACGCTCCGCAGAAAGGAGTGGTCAGATGCTGCGCATACGATGTTGGTGCTGTGCTTTTTAGATTCGCCGCCCTGAAAAATATTGCCATTGCGTTCAGAGCGGCCGCCCGCGTCTCCAACTTGCGCTTCAAATTTAAGAAATGTTTCATTGTTCCGCTCTCAGGAAGATTTACGCCAGAGATAGCTCGTGCGGTAAACAATTGGGTCATCCAGAACCTGCCTGAATGGTCTGAATTTGAAGTTTCGCCCTGTCTCAAGTACCTCGGGATGTGGATGGGGCCAGCGGTCACCCAGGAATCTTGGAAGAGTCCGCAGGAAAAAGATTGCGCCCGCAGCTGCCTGTTGGCGAATGCCCGCGCGCCACCTGTGCTCGCGGCAGCGCTCTACAACTCGCGTGTGATCTCGGTCCTCTCCTACGTCTCTCAGTTCCTCCTCCTCCCCGCCACCTTCCTGAGGTCTGAACTCGCCGCCCTGGCTGCAGCGCATGCCTCGCCGGTCTGCCGACTGTCCAGAGCAGATATGTTCAACCTCCACGCGAGGAATGGCCCACGCTTCCAGAGCGCTCTAATTCAAAACTTGGCGTCTTTGATGCGGGCCGCAATTAAGACTTTCCCGCATTGGCCCGAGTTCTATGCAGTGCTGAAGGGTCGAGCCTCCCTCCACTTGCCTCTGGTCACCATTCTTAGAGGTGGGCTCTCCCCGAGTTTCTGGGCCTCGAGCTCGTTCGTTGAAATCCTGCGTGGGGCCTCCCTGGGTTTCCCGACGGTTCCCGAGTGGGGCCAAGGCGGCGCCGCTGCCCTCCGAGCTGCTGGCGCGGCTCTCGCCGACCCCAAGAAGCGCCTCCAGAAAGAAGTGAGCTCGGCCCTGGCTGCCCAGTTATTCCCTGGCCGTCTTCATGACACTCTTTCCCGACGCTTCAAGAAATGGCCCCCCCGCAAGCACGCCGACATCGACGCAATACATTGGGAAACGGTCCGCGCATCCTTGAAGAAGATGCCTCCGACGCAAGCCCACGCTGCCATTATCGCGTTGGCTGGAGCTTGGTGCTGCAATTCGGCCTTCCAGAAGAATTCCCTTTGTCTCCTCGGATGTTGCGGATCCAAAGACTCGATTTCCTATTATGTAGTATGTAATCGTTTCGCAGATATCCTTGCCTTGATCCTCCATGCGGCTGCCCTCAATGCGCGCCCCCTTACTCGTCTTGGGCTTCTTGATCCCACCCCTGCGCCCCTGGCCCCTCTGGCCGCCTCTGCCATTCTCCACCGTCATCTCGCAGCGTTTGCCAGCCCCGACGGGGTCGGCCAAACGGCTGCTTTCGGCTTGGCGCCTCAAATTCGTGCTGCGCCACTACGCGCAGCAGCGCCACAGGCTGAGTAACGCGCAGGACTGCCCCCCAGGCGCGAGCCAGGAGGAGGATGGGGGATGGGGGGGGGGGGGATTGGGAGCAGGATGTGGCGCTGAGAGGCCCAAGAGGAACGAGTTTCCGATTTGCGTTTCGGGCGCTCTTTGTTTGAGCCTCCTGAGCTCTCTGGAGTCAATGATTCCCCTCCCACATTTCCGTTGCCATATCCACCTCCTCTTCCCAGCTCTATCCCCCATTGTCGCCCCGACCTCCTGCCGCCATCTTTCTCAACCTCCACGCCGCTTACACCGCTACCTGTGTCTCCGTTTTGATCGTCCGTCAGCTCGTCCTTGTTGACGTTTGGTTCAAGTACGTTTGTGAGGTCCGACCGTGGCCGCGCCCGGGCAGGAAAATTGCGCGCGCGCCTCCCCGCCCGCGACCTTAGATCGCGCCCCGGACTTGACGTGCCACGGCGGGCGCCGACGCCAAGAGTCATAAACCATTCATCATTCAGCCCGAGGTGAAGGGGCCCCGTCGTAGAGCGAGGATCGAGCTCATTCGCCAGGGGGCGCGGAGTACCTGGCGGGAGCTTGCTACCAGCCGACCCCCCCGTGTGCCAACACGAGTGTGCATTTTCTTTCTTGCCCGACGTCTTGCTGTTCCTGAAAAGCGGTTGGGCGCTGAAGCTGGCGCTTGGGCTTGCGCCCTCAACGCCGCGCCGCGTCGGGCGCGAGGGGGGCGCCCTCCGTGGCGCCGGCCATGCCGGCACGCAAGAAGAAGGCACGGGTGGCCGAAGCGGAGGACTTCAGAAAAAGAGCGAGAGCGAATGGCAGCGGTCCGCGCGACCTGGGTCTCGGGGCCCCGACCGCCAAGCGGGCAGAGCCCCCCTCTCGCCGAGCTCAGGGGCGGGCGACGAGAATTGGCAAAAGGTCCGAGGCGGGGCACGTGACAACAGGGATCTCGGCCGACGGCGCGCGCAAATTTGCGGGCGGCCACGCGGTCGCGACCGGCCCGGTCAAGCGTCACTATTGCGAGGAAGAGCGCAGTTTCGTTTTGGTCTTCGCCGTGGCTTACGAGGACGGCCGGGCGCCATGCTGTCAGAGCAATTGTTCGTTCGTCGCGCACCAGCACGTTGCCGATGCAACGAGCGGCGAGTGCCCGAGGACGCCCTTTGACAGACTCCTGGCCCCTTCGTGCCTGCGCCAGTACACGCGCTTCAAGTGCCACCCAACAGCGCAGGAAGGACGACGCAGACTTCGGATCAGGCACCAGCTTCTGGACGAGGCCGGGAACCCACATTCTGCAAACTGAATTGTTCGACCTGGGAAATAAGCAGAAGACGGAGCCGCCGACGCAGCGGGCCAAGAGCATCGAAATGGCCGTGGAGATTGAGCTCATGACGAAAAAGGATGGCCCAATGATGCCGAAGGCCCCGCTGGCGAAGATCTACGAGGCCATCTTGACGGACGAGCGATTGGAGGCTGCGGGGGGCTTGATCTGCCTCGGCAGAGAGCTACGTCTTGCACGTGCGCCCACGTTGCAAGACGCCCCCCATCAAACTGAGGGAATGGGCGCGCTGCGAGGTGCTGGCGCAGCTGAACGAGCCACGGAGCACCGCCGCCAGAGACCATTGAGACGCCCGGGCAAGAAGCGCGGCCGCAGGCGAGCGGAAATGGGCACCGACTCGCAAGAATCCCGCGCCAGCGTCTTCGCGTTGCGCTCCATC